GATTGATGGTGCATTGTGCAGGGGTTGAAATGATTCAGGGATCTATTTTGTAGCTGTGTTGGTCTGAGACAAAGAGGAATACTGAACTCTCAAACCCTTAGTTCAGAGGTGATACCTTTTGTTACACCAACTAGAAAACAGTAATAAAAAAAAAAAATAAATCTTTCTTTGCAAGCTTTTAGGCACTTGTGCCCTTCTTCAGGCTGAGGAGAACTGAAAGATGGTAAAAGGCCCCTTAGCCTTTCTGCCACCTGACCCCACCAGGAAAGAGAAACTGCCTTATTTGCATATCAAAGAGCAACTCACACAAAGGGACTCTCATGGATCCAGAGGAACAGACATCCACCTTCAATTTACTCTGTGCAAGCTGAAATTTATTTGCTACCTAAGGGGACTTCTACCATCTTTTATTTCCCCTCAGCCTGAAGAAGAGCTCACTGACATCCTGTCACACTTTCAGCTTCTCTCATTCCTTGGAGTCTCAGAACAGCAGAAACTCCCTATACCTGAAGAAGGGTGACTGTGCCGAAAACCTTGCCTAAAACTTTTTCTAACTACTCAGTCTAATAAAAGATACCACATCTACTCAAACCTGCAAAGAAAGATATATATATAGATAGATAGATAGATAGATAGATAGATAGGTGGAACCTTTTATTAGGCCAACTAGGAAATAGCAATAGTTCACCCCTTGCTCTCTCTCTTTCAGTCTCGCTATTTTCTAGTTGGTCTAACAAAACCTCTCCACCAAGAGTTTTAGAGGTCTGTATGGAGATGATGACATGAATAGAAATAAATGCACCTGCCAGCTCTCAGCTCCAGCCCAGCTGCTGGAAGTCTCGTAAGGCTGCTGGAGCGACTGGGAGGAGAGGAGGCAGAGCGGAGCGGCAGGACTCTCGCGAGAGGAGGCAGGCTGGGAGCCCGCTGTGCATAAAGAGCCGGGCCGAGCGGGACGACGGTGGCCGGGCGCAGCAGCGTAGAGCGGGACCGTAGCGGGCTTCTCTGGGTGAGTGCGACCGGGCGCGGTGCTCTGCCCCGTGCCCTTTGCGGGACAGCGGCTGCCTTTGGCAGGGGAAGCTCCTTTTTCTCCATCCCTAGTGTCTGTGCCCCTCAGGCCCTCGGATCCTCTTCCCTGCCTTGCCCTTCGTGTCCTCCGGAGCTCCCTATGTCCGGGCTGGGAGCAATCGGGTGTCCCTGCCGCCCTTGATAAGTGTCCTCTGTCAGCCCTAAGGGCCTGCGATAGCTTCTGGCAAGGTGAGACCTCTTTTCAGTTCACTGGGGTAGCGAGGGGATGACCCACTAAGGGTATGTGCTAGGGACAGCTAGAAGCAAGGGATGAAATCCACAAACTGGAAAACCCCTGGGGCTGGCAAGGGGGCTTTGGCCCTCCTGCTTGTAGGAGGAAAGGCGCTGGCTTGTGTTCCGTTTGGAGGAACCTGCAAAACAAACTTTGCTTACTTACTTCCCTGTTTGGGGGCTGTTGCTTTCCCCACACCTGTAGGCCAGACTCCAGCACATCTTAAATTGTGCTTCCTTTGCACAGCCTTGCCATCCAAGTGTTTCAGTTGTGTTCTAGGCAGATGATTTGGAAAGGAGTCTGGGATAAAATTGCTGTGTAAAATCACTGGTGCTTTGGCCCTACCTGTTGTGAAATCTTATTTTAAACTCTTTTGTTTTAAACATGCCTTTGTTTAAACTCTGCAGCTGGGGAAAAATAGGTGAATTTCTTCATGTTTCTTTGCGTAACTGGCTGATATGATAAAAATCAGCGTAGAGGCTTGAAGCAGCAATAGAGCAAACAATGCCATAGAAAAACTAAGTTCTCTAAATGATGTTGAATGTCTCAGTCCCCATGTTCAGCTTCAAACACTCCACAGATAAACGTGTGCCTGAACCCATAAACAGAAGAGATACCCAAAAGGAGAACTTTGCCTGTGGTCTATACTGCTATTATTGTAGTGAATAGTATATAGAAAATTGCCTGTCAGACACTGTCAAAGCAGCAATAACAAACTGCTTCAGAGTCTTCTCCCTACCCTGACCCTGCAGAGCCCCTCTGTAGAAGAGATGGGTGGGTCCCAGGGTGTTAAGCACTGGGAGGAAATGGCACTTGTCTTCACGACAGATATCTGCCTCTCTGCAAACTTGTTTAAGCCTTTACATCTTAATGATTGGGGGAGTGGCAGGCAGGAATACTTCATACTACTGTACAGTTGATATACTTATCCTACTGAAACATGTCTAGGAAGTCACTTCTGCAAGCTAAGTGTACTTGCATGTACCTCACTTCAAACTCTCACAAATATACAGGATTGGGCCCATAATGTATGGACTCGTAACTGTGTTAAGACCATCTTCCATTGCATTAATCAGCTGAAAAACCTTGTCCATTTCAAACTGTTGGTCAAAAGTGGTTGTAGGTACTACATTTACCTTTGTTTCCTTATTGTCGGCTGGCTTGGCAGAGAGAACTATTTAGCCAGCCTATGGAAGACTGTCCCATACAGTGAAATGGACAACACAAAATAACTGATTGTCAGATGCCTCTTGCTGAGCTTGTAGGGTAAATAAAGATTACTATTCTTGAAGATAAACTGTTTCTCTGATTTTTGGTTTTTAGTGCCTGCATTATTGTTCCCTGAATGGGTAATTGCTGCGTACTGTAGGAAAAACTAGACTGCAGGTATATAAATTGTTACAATATAACCCATTTCATAAACAGAATGCAGATGTCAATCCTGCTTGTGAAGAATTAAAGTTTTTTAAGGTGGCTTGCTTAACAGCTCTCCAGAAGGGAGATCCTTGGCTTAAAACATTAGTATCTGTGTATAGATTAAGTTGAAGGACAGTGTGGCTAGTGAGGACCTATTACATTTTTTTTTCTTTTGACTTTTGGTTTTTTTTTTTTTTTTTAAATCTTGTAGGCTGTGCAAGACTCGGGACCAAAAATGGTATTGGTTGCAAGTGATCCACAACAGGTATGCAAGAATGAACAGTCTAGTCTTTCATGTATAACCAAGAAGGCTGTTAATTAACTGAGAAAGCTGTAAACTGTGTCCCTCTTTTTATGCAGAATGTTGTATCTAGGGTTGTTAGCCTTCCCTTGGTGAGTACCACCTATGATATGGTATCTTCTGCCTATGCCAACACAAAAGATAAGCACCCCTACCTGAAGACTGTATGTGAGATGGCAGAGAAAGGAGTAAAGACAATAACTGCAGTGGCCCTGACAAGTGCTATGCCAATCATCCAGAAACTGGAGCCACAAAGTAAGGCATGGCTGTGTGTGTCAGTAGGGGGTGGTTTTGTTAAAGCTGATGAATTAGGTGTGTGTTCAGGAGGGAGTGGGGATGAAGGGGTAATGTTAGAATCTGGGGGCAATGTGAAAGGGATGTTTGTTACTGTAATGTGTGTCAGCTCTAGCTGTAACAATTGAGCAATAGTCTTTGCTTGGTGCTGTAACACTTCTCAAGTTGTGATCAGGTGTGTGTATGTGCATGTGTTGTTTTTTGGGGGGGGGGGTTGGGGTTTTTTTTTTTAATGGGTTCTTGATAAATAAAGGCTGAAGTTGAGTCTTAATCTTTAAGATTAAACTTGCTCTTAAGAATCTATGAGTAAGTAGCCTTTTGTTCAGCTCCATTTCCTAGCCTTTCACCCACTTCTCAGCTCTGTGTCATACTTGCCTTTTAACCTACTTTGGAGTACAGCCTGGAACTTCAGATTAACCAATCATGTTTCATGGCTGCTTGTACTGGTTCTAGCTAGGATGCGATGTCACATGAACTGGCAAATGGCCAGGAGGCATTTGGCCTGTTCTGAAGGTCACTTGATTATTCATAAATAGTTCTTCACTTGCAAAATCCTTAAATACTGCTCTTAGAGCTTGGGCTGTTCATTATAGGGCTGCCTAAAGATTGCTTTAAAAGGGAGAAACTTAAAAGTTGCTCCCTATGATAACAGAAGTTATTAACTTCTATCCTTTTTTATTTTATTTTTTTATATTGCCCTTGTAATGTTCATCATTCTTGACTCTTTTTTTTTTTTAGTTATGGTTGCCAACAACTATGCATGCCTGGGACTGGACAGAATTGAGGAGAGGCTGCCAATGCTGTATGAGCCAACTGTCAAAGTAGGTTTAACTGCTACATTTTAAATTTCAAGGGGAACAAATCCCAAGGATCCAATTGTTCTCGGAGCAGCATGGCCTACAAAAAAAACCCGGCAAGTGTAGGAAGCTTGGAACAGTGGCTGTGCGCTGGTTTTTCTACCTTTCAGAAATCACTTCAATGCCTGACCCCCACCACCCATCCCCCCCTATGTGTTGAGTAGCCCTGGCTTAAAATAGAGTTAGTGACTGTTCTTGGCACCTTGTTTTAAAACAAGAGAATTTAAGCTTGTGTCCCTCCTCACTTATATTGATGGCTTTTACTAGGCCCTGAAAATTTAAGCACTTTTAAACAACTACATCTGAAACGAAAATGAATTGCATTCACCTTTCGGTCGCTTGTTGGACCTTGAAATGAAAACTGACTAGAGCAAACTACTATAGAGAGAGCCATGCAAAAAATGTTTTATTTCTGCCCACCAAACTGGAAAGTGTTGAATTGCCTTTCTCTATTTATGTAGTAGTTTGAACAGCAGAACTCCAGCTCCAACTTGTAAGACATGCTCTAGTGAGGTTAGATTAATCTTCTAGCAACTTGGCGAAGTGGGAAGGCTGGTTTTCATACGCTTGCTACCATGTAATCAGCATAAAATTGCTGGTGCATCAACTTCCTGCTTGAACAAATGCACTGTAATTTCTCTGAGAGCCTTTTACATAAGAAGGCTCTAATGTCCCCTTGACTTTTTGGCAAGGTGGACAAAGACTCCAAGTTCTTCCTTCAAACCAGTGAAGCCAATCTCCTCTCATGAGTAGGAGTGAAGTGGAAAAGCAGTGAAGGTGTCTTGTTACAGCTCCAAAGACTAGAGTTCATGCTTCTCTTGGGATTTGTGCCAAAGGCTACCCACTATTAACCCAGCTGTAAATGGTATTTGATTTCTTTTTATTTATTTATTTATTTATTTTTCATGCTGGGTGGTTTAAAGGTAGAGCCTTTGGCTAAACAGACATATATCTTAAGTGTACCACCCCAGTGGGGCATTGGCTTGGGTAGACTTCCAAGTTGACCAAGTTTTTTGAGAAATTAATCGCTTCTGAAAGAATTAGGAAGCTGCTCGGTGGCCTGCTTTGCTTTAGTTTCAGACGCTACTTACTGCTCCGGTCATTGTGGAATTGATGTAGAAAAAACTCTAGCAGCATCCTGTATGGAGCTGTCAATGAGCCACTTAACTAGACTTTGTAAGCACTTGTCCTAAGATGATTCACATTCCCTCTACCTAATCAGCCTTCCAAACAGTAACAGTGTCCTAATTTAAAAAAAAAAAAAAACCACAACAAAAAATCTGCTTAATTGACCTAGGGTTAAAGAACTTGACCTTTTCTGATCAACACTTTAGGGATCATCTAGGGCCATAGTACCTGGCCTTCTAAAATTAGGGCTTCTGTAAAGTATCGTGGGCTGTGTACGTAGAATGTAGTCTGAAATTTTAAGTCTTGACTTTGTAATTTATTTTTTGAGTGGTAACCTTGGGGGAGAGATGGCAACATAGGAGTAGTAACAGTGGAGTTGCAAGGCTACAAATCTCTTGCTTAAACAGGAATTACTAATTCATTTTGCAGTAGCTTTAGGCTTATACATGCTACATGAAAGCAACGTTTGTTTTATTTATTTATTTATTTTTTCTTCTTCTTCATTACTAATTTGGTGTGTCTGTGTGTCTTGGATTCTGTTGTTCTCCAGCAAGTACAGTCTATCAAATTTAATTCTTCTTTGCAGGTGGTTGCCAATGCTAAGGGTGTAGTTGTTGGAGCAAAAGATGCTGTAATGACTACTGTGACTGGTGCCAAGGATACTGTTGCTCACACTGTTACTGGAGTTGTGGGCAAGACAAAAGGAGCTGTGCATGACAGTGTGGAAATGACCAAGTCTGTTGTCAATGGGAGCATTAATACCGTCCTGGGAAGCCGTGTGGTGCAAATAATGAGCAGCGGGGTGGATGGTGCACTGAGCAGGTCAGAGACTCTTGTAGACCAGTATCTTCCACTTACTGAAGAGGAGCTAGGTAAGACAAGTTCAGTGCTTGATAAAGCAACCAGAGGGAGGATTGGGGTGGACAGGCAAGCAGAGTCACTATTATCTCTGCTTTACCAAGAGGGTGTCCTTCATGTCTAAGCTTAAGGATGTAGCTTGAAATTCATGGAAGAAAGTGGCTGGTGCAGGATGAAGAAGTGGGCTTTGATTCTCTACAGATCCATGCTAGGTCTGCCTTCTGGTCTTTTTTTAGTAACTGGACAGCTAAGCAACTCTTCTTAAGTTTGGGTTAAACTCTGTGTGTGCGCGCGCGCGCTCTCTCTCTCTCTCTCTCTCTCTCTCGCAAAAGAAGTGACAAAGGTTGAAGGATTTGAAGCTGGAGTTCAAAAGCCAAGCCACTACGTTAGACTAGGTTCCCTGTCTTCTAAGGTCCGTGCACGTGCCTACCAACAGGCCTTAAGCAAAGTTAAAGATGTTAAACGCAGGAGCCAAGAGACCATTTCACAGCTTAATAACATGGTTGGTCTGGTAAGTTTTTAAATCTCTTATTTGGTGTTTAAATTTTTATGTTGCTGCTGGAAGAGTGGTTTTTAATATAGTCCCTACTTAAGACAACTTGCCAAAGATGGGTGGAAAAACAAATTTTTTAACAGTTATCTCCTACTGCCCCCCAGCCCCACCACCTTAAGCATATAAGAGGTCTTATGCCTTTAAGAGGGGAGCTTGTCTTAATACCCAACTTTTTTTAGGTATTTTTTTAAGTGAGATTTTTTTGGTTTCCTGACCAAAACTACTGCTGTGGGTGATATGGCCTTGTTTAACATCTTCCCCAACTTTTTAAAGGGCTAGCTTACCCAGAACTTCAAGACCATTTATTCACTTAAGGAATGCATTGCAATTCTATTGGCAAAGGAGGTCAAGAATCCTCCTTTACTAATAGAATTGAGTAGGGTTCTTCTTATATAATCTTGCTGGGACTAACTGTGGTTGGCTTTAAATACTTTGAGTGCTCTTGTATTCAGTAACATTACTATTGTTACTGAATAAGTTCTATGCCTCCCTAAGAAGAAGACGACTTATGTCTAGACTTTTATCCCTACGTGCTATTTCTAATTGTCGTGGTAAACACACGCAGCAAACTTTAGGTCAGGTCAGCAGAAGCTTGGTTTATTAGAGAATGCATTCTGGACAGACTCACACACAATTGGAGAATTGTGAAGAGGCCTGACCCCGTACAACAGGTGAGGCGAGTTCATATAGAAAATATGACATCATAAGTATAGCAACGACATATACCAATCAGCATTTGCCATGACTTTGTTAGTAATGCGCATGTCTTCAATTTATTTTTGTTAGCATCAATTTATCTTTGTTAGCAGATTTTAAGGGTCTTCTGACTTGTAACCTCAGGGGTTACTTCCCTTTTTGGGCTGACTCAGCAGGCTAGTTTGTGGTTACTTTTGTGCTAAGTTTTTGTTTTTTACTAGATGTGGACAGGATGGTTCCAGTCTGTTAGTCTGGCAGTTTTGGGTCATGTCCTTTTGACTTTTCCATAGCCTAAGCTGAATATATGTTTTGCACCTTTTACACATAACGGAGATTCAACTCCATTTTTCCCTTCTTCCATATAATGCTTCTTGGTGGCAAGCTAGAAAGGAAGATAAAGACATCTCTTGTAGACCTAACCAAAACAAAACAAAAACAACTAAACAACCCTTCTCCTTCAAGTTAATTACCAAGGAGAACCAAAAATTAGTGGAAGTACTAGACAGTACTTGTATGCAACTGAAACCTGCTTCAAAACTTTGTTTCATTGGTTGTGTTCTAGGTGGAGTATGCCAGAAAGAACATGAATAGCGCCAGTCAGAAACTTCATGATGCCCAGAAAATGCTATATCAGTCTTGGCTAGAATGGAAGAGAAACACAGGCCAAAATGATGGTGATGAATCGCATAGTGTTGAGGTAAATACAAATGTACAGAATAGCTGTTTTAGCCTGTATGAAGGGAAAAACAGACTAAGCAACCTCTGGGACCAAAAGTATGATGGAGCACCTTCTAAAGCAACCTGTGCTTCTTGGAGTCCATGCATGCAGGGCATCTTAATGCATCCTGCCTATGGATGGGTATGCCATAAGCCATAATGTTCACTGAAGTGAAGGATGGCTATAGGCACCATGTAAGTCAATTGGCTAAAGACTGTTTTCAAAGCCCAAACAACTAGCTAAACTAGATTCAAATTGTTTAGAACGAGTACCCAGGTAACAATGCTGGGAGGACATGTCCTATCAGAGTGCCATCTTTTAGCTTCCGCATCCAGTAGAGGCTGCCATAACTCCTGCAGTCGGTCACCAGCATAATGCCTCTTACAACAGTAAAGTATATTGGTCCCTTGACCTAATAAGTGCTCCAGGACTGACCTGTAGGCTGTAGATCTTTGGGAGAAGTGAGACTGCTATCTCATGCTAGGTTAAGTGCTGGACTGCCTGCCATGAAGCATTCCAAACTCTGTTCTCGATGCTAACTGTCTTGGCTTTGCCAAGCAAGTTGCCATACCTTTCTTGAATATGACAACTCCTCTTTTACTCCTGCCCCCCCCCCCCCCCCCAAAAAAAAAATTACTGCTAGAAATTGCAGTGCACATTATATGTTAAAAAAAAAACAAAAAAACCCCAAACCAGCTGCTACCTGTGGGAGTGGAGAGGGGAGTGAAAGTAATTTCTGTGCCTCACAATAAGCAGGCTGCTGCTGCTGCTACTCAGCAATTTATTACAAGGAAAGATTTTTGCTGTTTTGGGGGGTTTATTTTTATTCTGCCTTTCAAAAACGCAATATGTGCATTTATTGCAAAGATGCATACATCTTTGTATGCGAGAAAACATGATAACTTAAGGAGGACTAAAGAACTCTTTCCAATCCTCTGCTGTCTTCTGTTCCATCCCACCACTTTAACTAGCTGGGGCTGAAATGCTGTTGTATTGGGAGTTTGACTTTTCTTAAACTGGAAGCTTCAAATGCATTTCACACTTGAGTAGAAAGTGAATTTTGTGCTTGTACAACATCTTGGTTAAATCAGATCTAGAACAGAGCTAGACCTAGCATATGCATAAGTAGACCTTGGAAAACTAGGTGAGTTCTTGAAAATAAGGCCCTTTAAACTCCACCCCCCAGCCAAAATCTGAAGTCATCTGTCTCTGAAACTAAAGCCCTAATTCAGATTTTTAATCCCTTGATTTCATTCTGGTGATGGATTTTTATCATAGTAATTCTGCTCTCTGGCTAAATTCAAGATGATGGATTGCTATTATGCACTTTTTTTTTCCCCAGCACATTGAGTCACGCACACTAGCTATTGCACAGAGCCTGACTCAGCAGCTCCAGACCACCTGCCTCATGCTCATGTCAAGCATACAGGGGTTGCCACAGAACATCCAGGATCAGGCCCACCATATTGGGGTGATGGCAAATGACATCTACAGAAGCTTCCATTCTACTTCCTCTTTCCATGAAATCTCTGATAACATCCTTGCCACAAGCAAAGAACAACTGAAGAAAATGAAGGAGTCTCTGGATGGTGTAATGGATTATCTAGTTAACAACACACCACTCAACTGGCTGGTAGGTCCCTTTTACCCACAACTGGCTGGGTCTCAGCATGCTGAGCACAAGGGTGAGGGGGAGAAAAATGCCAGCCAGGAAGACAAACAGCCTGAAACCAGCACAGATTAAATTTGTAGTAAGTGTACTCTGCAGTCTGACCAAACAAGGTGACTTGACTACTGTAGCAGTCGGGTCATTGGTTGGAGCAAAACCAACAAGGTAGATTAGACTAAAGCACTGAACTCTCTCTTGCTAACCCCAGGAAAGGATCTTTGCTTGGAGATGGACTTTGCTGTCCTGGGATAACAGTGCCTCATGCAAACAGTACAAGCCTTGAAGCTTGTAAGCTTCTGCTCTTTACGGTAGACAAGATGCCTTGTTTAGCTATTTGGTTAAGAAGCCTTATACTGACTGATGGTGAAAGTACAAAGTTAACCTAAATATAACTTGTGAAATAGTCTATGATCTGTGCAGGAGAAAAGCCAAATAAACCATTTTTAATAGAGTCCCAGCTGCTATCCATACATGGGAGTTTTGTCAGACTTGTTAGAACAAGTACAGATTGAGCGCTGATCTTTTATGATTTTTGATTTGGACACTTGTCTTTTAAAGAACTAGGTAGCTGTGTAGGTCACAAGATATTAATGTCTTATTGAGGATTTACTACTTGTTCAGGTCTGAGGGGCTTCTAATTTGGTCAGCCAGAGTTACTTCAATGCTGTGACCGTTTTCATTCTTCTTTGTGCCATGCTACCTTGATGGAGAAGTAAATATCCATTACAAAATGGTAGAAATCAGATTCATGCTGTTTTGTACCATGGTGCCTAGTCCCTATGTGTCTTGTAGTGCCTCCTTGACCTTGTTTGTAACACTAATTTTTTGTATGTTAGTAATAAATGCTTCAGCAGCCAAAGTCTGTCTCATTTTGAATGGTGTAAAAAGGCAACTCGGGCATTTTTAGCACTCTAAACCGTATGACTCCCTGCCTTGCTTGAACTAGGTCTAGCAGGAGGCAGGCCTGAAATGCAAATCAAGTAGACACAAACTGCTGGTCTACCAATTTGTGCCACAAGTGCAATCTCTCTATAGATGGGTCAGATGTTGCTGCTGCATTTGTTTCCTCTCCTAGAGTTCTCATTCACCCTTCACACTTAGTTTTTACTGTGTTTTGTCCATGCTTATTTGCCTTGGTGAAATGCCAGACTATGGGGAATAACTATTCTGCGGTGTTTGAGATTAGTGGGAACAAGAGGATCTAGACACTAGTATGTCCTGCCTGCACTGTAGGCAGGACACGCATTAGAAGCTGCATGCATAAAATACATCATGCCTTGGCTGACCTCTCCTGTTGATCTGTACTTGGCTTTACTAGTGTCAAATACATTCAGAAATCAAAATATTTTGCTGTCTGGGTGGGGACGCCCCTCTGAACTTGGCCTCATGCAATCTATCTGCTCATTTTCCACTAAGGTAAGTAATGAGCAGCATGTTAGTTTCCTTTTACAATGGATTGCAGGCTCCAGTATTGCAGCATCACTAGTCTGTTTCCAAACAGGCCACCAGATAGTCAAAATCAAATATGTGCATTTTCAGCATTGTACATGCATTCCAACTCATTGTTACTACCTGGCCAGCAGAGCCTGTCTAAGTTTATTTTTAAACTAGTCAGGTTCTGGAAAATATCCTGTCTTAAGTAAACCATTTCTGAAGGATTATAAATAATGGCTTTGGGGCCATGCTTCAGAATACTTTCAAGCTGGAAACCAAAAGGCTATTAATCTTGCACTGAACATAGGGGTACAGGTGTTGGAAGACACCTGCACACTCTAAGACTCTTGGGACTTTCAGGGGGATTCTTGCAACCACATTCTGGAGTACCTGCTACTTGAAATGTGGCAGATTGTCCCTGAATCTATGATGTCCCAGAGCTTGAATGTCTTATTTGACCTGGTACTAAAAACAGCTTGAAGAGTTCTGTCCTGGAGTGCTTACAAAAATGTAAGCACGTCAGTGGAGTGCTAGTTGACTGCCTCCTTTTGAGCTGTCAATATGAGTCTAGTATGCTTGCCTTCTGGCATTTTGGTGCACCTTCTATTCAGCATCACCAAGTAGGAGCTGTTTTCTGAGCCCAAGCAGCTGTGTGACCAGCTGAGTTGATCTGACATTCAAGGAAGATAAGACTCTGCTCTAGGGTCTCCTCATAAGGTCTCCTTTCCTGAGTGAGGAAAAGAGAAGTCCAATTCTCCTATGGCTGGGAAACTGTCCATAGGAGATAAGTGTATGGATTTTTTACCCTGCCTTCTCTCCCTGCACATGTTAAACTTAATGCACAGAATATAACACACAAGCTCAGAACTTGAAGTACAAGGCTAAAGGATAGCAGTTAAGTCAACCACAGTTCACTTGGTCAGATTTTTTTTTTTTTTTTACTCTTCCATGACTACTTTTATAAGGCCCTTCCCCAAGCAGGCCCACTTGTGCTGTATCTTGTGACACTTAAGACTAGTGCTCCCACATCTGCTTTCCTTTGGCTTTCACTCCTTTTGACTACAGAGAAATAACAGAGCAGTTTCCCAGGATGTTCACAACAGGAGAAATAGGAACTGATCAGAATGTTTTTTGACAATATTGCTTTCTACTTGAAACCTCTGAGTTTATATTGTGAATCATGTTCTAGGTGTCTTTACATTAAAGTGTTAATATTGAACATCCCAGGATGCCCTAGCATTCTTGTTGACAATCGCTGGTCTGAGCAAAAGGATCTTAACTTCTAAGTATTATCTACATGGGACAACTAATGCACCACAGATTTCACTCAGTCGGTGTATCTTGTTTTGTCTTAAAAAAAAAAAAAAAAAAAAAAAAAAAAAGTTGCTCCAACACTCTACAATAACTATTTCTTTCTTTCTTAGCATACTTGCATAATTAAAACAAGCAACGTTCTTGTTGCTACAAAAACAAAAAACTCTTCAATTTTATCTTTGGCTTGAAATGAAAATATGAGACTCTTCAAAAATCACTTTAAACACAGTGGCAGAAGGTGGTTAATTCCTGTCTCTTTTTGACAGGACTATGCTGGTACATTTTAAGATTGTAGAAATGCAGGGGTAGGCAACGTTTTTTGGCTGGAGTGCCGAAAAAACCACAATGTCTACCTTGGAAGGTGCCAGAGTGCCGGCATGCCAGAAAAACAAAAGGGGGAGGGGACGTGTACATGGCAGGATGCACTGCATCTTAGTATATTTCATAAGCATAAATGTTGCCTTCGTTGTGTATTCCTTTTTTGTTGAGCATGTTGCAAT